GTGGCTTCTCAATGAGTAATTCCTGTCTGACTCTCTCTGTGAGTTTCAGCTGGGAACCGTGGTGGTGGGAGTAAAGTATGGACTCCAAAAGATAAAGTTTTAAAAACTACATTGCCAAAGGGGAAGTGAAGAGTTCACTATCCTGTAGTTGAAAGGTACGACATCCAGGTTCTTTAACATATCAAAATCTCAAGGTTACATACGAGTATTCCCTGGGACCATTTCAAGGAAAGCTGCCATGTTAATGGAGATGAGGATCCTTGTGGAACATGGGGTAGAGACCAAATGTTGCCGTTTTGAGTAAGAAATGAGACTTTTTAAGAGTCAGGTAGTAGTACTCCATTGTGTGAAAATACCACATCTTTTTTATCCATTCTTTAGTTGATGGGCATCTGGGTTGTTTCCAAGATTTAGCTACTACAAATTGTGCTGTTATAAAAATCGGTTCATAAATTTTGCTGTGGTATAATACAAAGAAGGGTAAGATTGAGATGTATAGGTAAATAGGTATAATTGAGGCCATACTCATAAGTGAAATAAGTCAGACTCACCTGTGTAAACACCATACTGTCTCCCTGGTGTGAGTAAATGAAACAATAAAAAAACTATAAAATGTACAGTAGATATTGTGGTATGGGAAGAAATTGTTCAAAAGGAAAAAGGAACTAAGGTGGAGGAAAGGAGAAAGGACATTAGGGAAAGGGGAAAAGTGCAAGTCAGTTATATACTTGTATCTCTTTGTTCATTAATAAGGAAGGTTCTCGCTAATATCAACTGTGGATTCTTGTGCCCATATCTTGTACCCTGAGCAACTACTTCAAAGATAACAACATGCAATGGATTAACTATTGTTATTCTCCAATAATTTGGAATTTTTTTTTTTTGTCCAAAGTGAGAAAAATAATAAAAACCATGACAGAATTTCAAAACAAGGCACTGGGAAATTAACATTCATTACTATATTATATATTGTTATCTTCAAAGTAGTTGCTCATATTACAACATGCATGTATGCAAAAGTGATCAAACAATGTAAGCACTAACCATTCTTTTCAATGAACTCAGAAAAATTTGTAGTATAATTATCTTAGGTATGCTGTACATATATGTATATATTTTCTTTTCCCATCCTTCTTTTCCCCTTTCCCTCATCCCAGATGTTCTTCTCTTTTGATCAGTTTCTTTCTATTTTGTTATGAAACACTTTTCACCTTTTTTTCATGAAATAAAATTTTTAAAAGTGAGGTACAAGAAAGAAGAGCTCTGTTGTATATTATGATGAGTAACTGCAAGTGGCTAAGTTGAAAGCATTATGAAGAGTTTTGAAAATATGTGAAATAGCACACATTTGAAGGAGTCACCATGCTTGCCTAGTTATTTGTAATTGTAATTAAGATTACACTCATTTCATTAGCTCTCCCCTCTAATGCAATCTGAAGGGATCTCACAGTGACTATTATTTTTATTCTCTCATCAAAGTCTTGATAAAGAGAGACAGTAACTCTGGGAGTCTCTCTAAACTTCTTCATGTTACTTTTCAGTGCATTACAAGTCTTATTTCAAAAGATTCCCACTTCTCATGAGATAATGTCCCAAATCCTAAACACAGCATCCAAGCTCATGGATGTATTTCCCATTTCCATCTCTGCAGGATTCTACCTGACACTTGTTCCTTGATTCCCTCTCGGCAGGTAACCTAGGCCTCCAGTCCATATATCTTACTGTGGAACTCAGGGTAAGTTCCACTGGAGTCCAGCTCTTCTGCTTGGCCCATTCCTCACAACATTTTCCCACAGCCCAGTGCTTAACCATCCCTCTACGATCAGCTTAATTTCACTCTCTTTAAGGTTTCGCTGATTGCACAAGGTCAGCTTCCTGATATTTCCACTGCATGAGTGTGAGAGGTAGAATGATGGCCCCTTAAAGATTCCCAAGTCTCAGTCTGTAAAATTTATGAATATTGTATTCAACAAGACAAAGGGGAAATTTACATTGTTTTCCTCTGCTTTGGGGTATCTCTAATAAATACTAAAGTTTGGCTGGCTTGTAACCTGCAGGAGTTCATTTCTCACAGTTCTGGAGACTAGAAGTCTAAGATCAAGGCAGGTCAAAGTGTGGTGAAGAGTTCGCATCTTCTGGGAATGATCTCATATGGTAGAAGGGGTAAGAGTCTCCCTGAAACTCTTTCCTATAGTGGTATCATTTATATCGAGATGTCTCCCCAGAATCTCATGCATTCAGAGGTACAGTTTTTTTTTTTTTTTAATGTGATTGTATTATGGGGCAGTGTAGCTGATTTGCTGTGGGGCAGAGTATCTGGTCAGAAGAGAAGTTGCTACTGCCATAAAAGACAGACAGACAGAAAGAAAGAAAGAAAGAAACAGAGAGAAGGAAGAATAAAACTTCTATAAACACTACCGAAACACACTTATAATGAAACAGAAAATTTAAATACTGTATTCCCCAAATTGACAAAAGAATCAACAGAATTCTCAACAAAATACCAGCTTCCTGTTTCTTTTATTGACATTGACCAGTGTATCCTCAATTGAAGCAGAAATCCAGAGACCTAGAATAGGCAAAATAATCTTATAAAAAAGCACTAATTTGGAAGAGTCACATGTACATTTGAAAGGGATGAATTTTATGAAATACAAATACGATCATTAGAAGCTGGTTAAGACAAAGAAAAGTAGCCAGGCATGGTGGTCCATAACTGTAATCCCAACAGTCTTGGAGGCTGAGGCAAGAGGATCAAGCTTCAAGCTCAGCCTGGAAAATTTAGCAAATTGACAATTCTTTTTGCTTATCTCAGAAAGAAAACCTGGGTTTTTTCTTGGTCACAAAGGCCTTGGGTACAATTCCCAGGGCAGCACACACGCAAAAAGAAAAGGGAAGGCCAGAAGGGAAAGCGATCAAAGAGGAGAAGATGACAAGACAGGGCAAGGGAAGATAGGGGAGGGGACAACAAAAAAGAAATAGAAAGGGAGGAGAGAAGAAAAAAGATTAGCTCTCGTTCTGTAACCATAGATGTAAGGAAATCAAAGAAATCAAAATCTGCAAGATTGGGAAAGCTGATTACTTTAAGATACGGGATAGAAAGAGGTTTCACTGAAGATGATTTTGCGAGGAAAAACTCCACTGGGACTCATGTGTGTAGCCAAGATGAGGTTCAGATTAAATGCCTTCCAACCAGTATGCAGGTCTCTGAAAATGTCAAGAAACTACAGTTGAGACAGAAAGACTCAGGGAGAAGGAACAAAACAAATATGCTAAGTTTAAGAGAGCTTTTCCTTAGGGAAGTATGTATTGGGGTATGGCATTTAGAACTAACTGCAGGCAAGTATAGTAGAAAATTGTTAATTAAGTTTGAGAAATCATACACCCTCACGTAAGCCACAGACTGGACCTCAAAAGGACAAAAGAAACAAAACAGGCATCAGAGAGTTGTACCAATAAGCTCAGTTGGGCAGTAAAGTGCAAAAGTTACTTAACCAAGAAGGGGACCATCCACAGTCATGGATACCACAGTAAGGACTTCCTTGCAGGGA